TACCACTCCCTTACGGCCACAGAGTGACGGCCTGGTGGAGAGGTTTCACTGCAGCCTGGAACGGCTGACCTGGATGCAAAGCGTTCTGGTAGAGGTTTGGGGATGTCGATGTTCACGTGCTCCATAAGTTATTTTGGCTGTTCATTACCAATACACAATTACTCGTTTAATTGACCTTTTTGGTATTACAACATATAACAGTGTCTAAAGGTATTCTGAATAAGGTACGTTTTGAGTATCTTACCAGAATATAATACTGAATACAATCAGGAATGTGTATTCAACATTGAGACACTACATGCTTATTCATAGTATTCTGCCCAAACCTGCATGACCCTCAACCCTCACACTTACGAGTAACACACTTACGAGTAACAATAAAAGAAACAGTGCAGTGTCGTTTTTATCCATCAATCCCTCAGCTGTCCAGACCCACACATAAGTCAGAATTAATGGGTTTAGACCAATAAGGGCTCAGTCCCACACACACAGACCCAGGAATCGAACCCTCAGTGTGAAGCTACAGTACTGCCCACTGTGTCACAACACCTCTGGGAACCAGCAGAGGGCGCTCATAGTCTCTCCTCCCTGCATCACTCAGAGCTCACCAGACCGGTTCCACCAGTTACTATCAATGCAGCTGCCTATAGTTCCCTCCTTTCCCCTCTGCCTGTTTAAGCCCCAGCTCCCCAGCAGTCCTCATTCGGACCTTGAACCCCTGGCCTGTGGTTGCACCTGGTTCTGCTGTGTCCCAGTTGCCCTGTCCCTCCGTTTACACACATAATAAGTATGAAAATGCAGGGAGACTCACCTAGTTTAAATGTGCCGCTCATCCAGGCAAAGAGTTGGGAATAAACAGCAAGGAACATCATGTTAAACAGCGTGGGATTATCTGTAAGGCAAAGAGAGCAAATCAGACACCCCCAGCCTCTCATCAGTCTATACAGACATAACATGATATTAAATAACAAAGTGTCCTTGGGCTTTTCTTCCCCTGAGATAAATCCTGCCGTCCCCAGGGCCTGACTGCACTGTGAGGTCATGCACAGTAAGGCCCATGATCCGAGGGCAGCGGGGCTCAGAACACAGGCTAAGGAGTCTAATGCCCCCGAGAGTCAGAGGGTCCCTCAAAACCCCATGGTGTGATGAAGATGAGGGCCGGCACATGTCGCTGGGGGGGATCCTGGACCATCCTGCATGGCAGCCAGGTCCCCCCCCCCCAGCCTGTACACCCTACATGTCTCCCTACATGAGGTCTACACAATAACATCCTACTGGGTAAAATGTCAGATGCACAGGGTACAAGTGTAATCTGTCAAACACCAGAACCTGCAAACGCCACACAAAGAGCAGAGGTGGGACTCGAACCCCCAGCCCTGGAGTTAAGAAGCAGCAGTGCTGCTCACTGAGCCTGTGTACCACGGAAAATGAAACAGCTCTAAACCTCATTCTGGTCAGAATTCTTAATATGCCAATGGACATAAATGTTAATGTGTACAAATACAGCCACATAAATATACTTACACAGGAAATAACCCATGATTAAAAGAATGTCTCTAAGTCGTACTGTTTCTCCCTTCCTTCGGGAGCGTATTATCCGAAACACACCGAGACCAACTGAAATAAAGGAAGATAAGTTTCAGTCACCAGACACAGAGTGAGAAAACAGATGTGTTCAGTGATCCTGTGTTTAAAACCCTGCAGAGCTCTGTCACCTGGGGGTTCTGAGTTTGAGTCCCATATTGGATGCTGCACTAAAAGTGCACAAAAGATTTAAATGGGTTATGAAACAGTGTTTCAGTTGGATATTGTATCATAATACCCTAATTGTGTAGATATTAATTATGAAAAGCATACTTTTAAATATCAGCGTCCAAAGTTTAACGTTTGTGTGTCTCATTCACTACAGTGTAGCAAATAAATGCCTGTATATTTATAAAGTTCTGCCCCAGTGTTCCTGACGTTCCAAAGTCTAAAACAAATTTAAATACATACTTTACAAAACCTGAAAACATACTTACCTGGGAATGAAACCATGATGACTGGAAACATTAATAAAGTGGAAAATGTTGCAAGTAGATCTTGCCAAGCTACAGCTGAGTATTTTGCCAGATAAACACTGACAGCAACTAAAATAAAGTAAGAATAGAGTCAGTCACCATGAAATTCATGTCAGACAGAGTACAAACACAGATGTGTTCACTGGTCCTGCACAGGCCTGTTACCTGGTGGTTCTGGGTTTGAATCCCTTATTGAACATTGTGGTATGAAAAGCACATCCCAGAGTATTTGGTTTGGACATTTAATCATACATCCCTAAATGTAAATATTAATTGTAAAAAATAATTTAACAATCCATGTTGTACATTTCAGCCAAAAGAAACTAAATTAACATACATTATCTATCTATCCATCCACCCATCCATCCATCATAACCCCTTCTCAAGTACAGTTCCATGGTGAGACTTTCCCTAAAAAGCCCAGAGCAGGGTACACCCTGGTGGGGTGCCAGTCCATCACAGGGCACATCCACTCACACACAATGGGCCATTTTTAGACCCCATTTTAACTAAATGCATGTGTTGTGTGTGTGCGTGTGTGTGTGTGTGTGTGGGGGGGGGGGGGGGGGGGG